CCATGTAAATTATCATGTAATTCACAATAAAACATTTAAAAAAAAACAGTTGCCATCGAGTCAACTCTGATTCATGGAGCCCTTGTGTGTATCAGAGTAGAACTGTGCTCTGCAGGCTTTCATAATTGGATCACCGGGTCTTTTTTCTGAAGTACCTCTGGTGGATTCAAACCTCCAATCTTTTGGTGAGCTGCTAAGGGCATTAACTGCTTGTACCACCTGGGGACTAGATGCTCAATGGGTGTCCACTCACAAATGATCCTGAGTCTCACCATTGTGAGGTGGCTGGGGTGGTGGCAGGGACTTGACCCCTCTCCTGTCCTCAGAAGCCCCCAAAGGAGGAGTTGTCAGCAGAGCAAGAGCTCGCTCACTCTGAGCTATAAAAGGCAGCTTCGTGTCTGGACAGCTGGGTCAGGACCCCGGGGACCAGGAAACCCGAATGCGCCTCACAGATCTAGCCAGGACTCCTAGGGTGTGACTGGGGCACTAATGGCCCCCAGCCCCAACCAAGGGCATGGTTTTGGCCTGGCAGCACATCAGCCTTCTCCTCCTCCAGCATCACATTCCACCTCCGGGAGCTCCCTGAGCAAGAGGGCAGTCCAAAGATGCAGGGGCTACCCTACAAGGCCAGAGAGCGAGCCGGCTGCTCCTACGGGAGGGATCTCTTTCCAGAGACAGTGTTGTCAGGCCTGGAATTAGCACAGCACCTGCAGGGAGGCTAGTCCAGAGTCTCTGGGGGCAGCGGTGGGGTATGACCTCTGTTGATCTGGCCTGGGACAGGGAGAGAAATGGGTCTTAGGATCAGTTTCCCACTCCTCTAACTCTGTTCTAGACCCAGCTGCGTCAGCTCCCAGCTCTGTCACTTACAAGATGGGTGAGCTTGGGCAAGCTGCTCTGTATCTCAGTTTCCCTATCTGTAAAATGGGGACTATGGTGCACTTGACCCAAGTCCTGCTCTTTTCTATCCCCATATGCATGTGAGGGGTCCTGGTATGGCACTGTAGGAAAAGCACTGTAGGAAAACCACATCAGTTTGAGCCACAAGGTCAGTGGTTCAAACATACCAGCTGTTCCTCAGAAACCCCATACAGGGTCGCTGTGAGTTGGAACAGACTCTACGGCACTTAACAACAACTACGTATGCATGTGACAACTGGACACCTGAAAGGCAGAAGAACGGACATGTTCAATGATGGTGTTGTTAGAAAATAAGCCATGGACTGGCAGAAGAACGGACAAATCAGTCTCAGAAGAAACAGCCAGAAGGCTCCTTAGAAGTGAGAAGGATGAGACTTTGTCCCCCTTACTTTGGACATGTAACCAGGGAAGACCAATCTCTAGAAAAGGACATCGTGTTAGGTAAGAAGGTCAGTGAAACTAGGGGAGAGACCTCAGTATCAAGGGACTGAAGCTAACCATGGTGTTGAAGACAGTGCAGGACTGGGCAACATTGTTCCCAAGGTCACCATGAGTTGGAGCTGGCTCTGTGGCAACAAACAATAACAGTAACAAAATGTGAGGGGCTAATAGCTGCAACCAATTTCCCGAGTTTGTACAAAGACAAAAGGGCTGTGATTTGAGTGACCTTGCCTGGTCAGCTGATGGCCTGAAGGATGATCCTCAGCTTCCCCATCTGTATAATGTGACTCCCCCACACCTCCTGTTAGGATTCAGGGACAGTGAATGGGCTTTCACAAATGACAAGCACTCCGCACACTACCGGCAAGTGGTAAGCGCCCTATAAAGGTCCTTCATGTTCCATCTGGAGTGTTCTAATCTTCATCCACATTCTTCAAGACACAATTGTTCATTCTCTTTTATCACAAAAAGAAACTGAGCCACAATGCCAGAGTGCAGGGGAGGGGTGAGATGAAGGAGAATTGGAGAACAGAGCTAGGATGGGGTCTGGGCTGGGATCTCCTCAAGCCCCAAACATGGGGGACCTAGGCGGAATCAATGTCCTTGGAGAACAAAAGAAATAAATGTAGGATGTTCTATTTGCACCTTCTTGGGCCTCCATGCCAATGGGATTGAACTTCTGCTGATAAAGGGGGGAGACAGCCAAGGACCCAGGGTGGTCAAGAGGAGGTGGGGACTCTGAATTTTGACTGGTCCCTGTGTCATCCGGTGGCTGAGTCATAGACAGTTATGGCCTTGATGCAGGGCTAGGGCACCCCGAAGGCTTCCTGGAGGTGTCATGTGATTTGGGCCTTGAAGGATGAGTTGAACACAGAGCAGTGTGTGTAGGTATATACAAGTAGAAATTTCTAGTTTGCTTGTTGCTGTTAAGTGCCGTCGAGTCAATTCCGACCTATAGCAACCCTGTATAGGGTTTCCAAGGAGCAGTTGGTGAGTTTGAATTGCTGACCTTGCAGTTCAAATCTGCTTAGTGCAATTTTATTTTATTTGTCTTTATTTTAATATTATTTATCAAGCATTTTCTGGTTTTCTATGAGGATCACAGACAACACTGTGACACAAACTTGTCCCAAAGCAGCTTCAAGTCATTCACAATGTTTTAATGATAATAAACTACCCATCTGTCAGCCTGTCATACTAC